CCTCCCATCAGACAACCTGGAGCAATTGGAAGACATTTTTTGAATTTATTGGTGGAATGTGTGAGTTATGAGAGAGAATAAATCCTGGTTGTATGAAAACCATGGATCCTATAGCTGACACTTTTTCCTCTGCCTAATTAAGTATTAGTTGATGTATTGACGCTGCGATTTTTTTTTATTTACAGGGTCTATAATTCGAACGGTAGAACTGACATGCCTACACTGTAATTATTGCGAATCTGAATTGACAGTCGAAGACTTTTGAGTCCCTCTCTGTATTCGGCAGAAAACCTTCAAATATTAATGGTAAAAGTCCCCAGCAGTTTCTGTTCTGCAGAACAATTATATTTCAGGCGTGGAAACCATTTGAAATAGGTATAAAAAGAATTATAAATTATTATTAATTAAAAAGATTTGAATTATTTAACGAAATTTCGTTAATTATTTCGAAATCGAGAAATTTTCGCGGAGGTTCATGATGGGCTTAATTTCAATATACGCCCCAGATTTAAATGTTTAAGATAATTTTTACTTTTGTATTAATGTAGTGAAAAAATACTGAAATACACAAATATTCAAATGGCAATTAGAAAATCTTGAAAGCTTTGTAAATCCCCAAAGAACCAACTTGCAAAAAATGGATAAGCCCTTCCTTTATTGTCGCACAGTTCAGACGTTGACAAAAAATTATTGGCATGATGAAAAATTGGTGATTAATTACGTTTAAGAGGTGTTTTCATAGATCGTCGTTATCCTCCATCCACAGCTCTGGTTTGTCATATCCCAACTGCTTCAGTGTGCTAATCCCTAGCTTATCCATAGTCGGCTTAACTTGAGCCATCAGCCATTCAAAAATCGCCTCATCTTGGCCAGTCTTGGCGTGAAGTGCCTCCAGAAATCTGCAGGAAAAAAAAAAAAAAATTTTAATCTGGCCATTCTGGAAAAATTGTGTTTGCAAAATTCGACTCTAATCCGTTGCCAAACTAGGGTCGAATTGCGAATCTTTCGTATTGCAAAGCACTCCATGAAATTCAATAAAAGTACAGAAGTGCGAAAATATGGCCAAAGCTAGTCAGATTGCAAGTCAACCTCCCTGCAAATTTAACTGTCGAATTGCGAGGTTCAAATTTTAATCTATTCTTCACTGGCGATTTACGAAGTCAAGTCTCCCAAATAAGCGTCTCAAAATTTCCGTTATTCCTTTCTGAAGAAAAGTTTATATTTTCGATTGCAAAAATTAATTAGATATAAGGTTTAAAAGGATTAAATACTGGCTGGAATGAAAGTAATTCCTGAAAGACACGTATGATTTCTGCATAAGGTTCACTGACCTGATGGTCAAGGCATAATCGTTGACCCGACGACAAGCTTCCAAGATAGACTCCACGACCTTCGGACTGGGTACCATGTCCTCGT